AAAGGTGCCATGTGAATTTACAATGCTTAAAAAAAAACATACAATAAGAAAGCACTGCAGCGGACAAGCAGTGTTATTCCACAAATCCATTTATCATGTAAGAGAGCCACTGAAGAGAAACAGCCACAATCTCACAGTATCTCTTACATTTGGGAGATACTAAAAAAAAAAAAAAAAAAAAAAAAAATAACTAAAGGGAGTGCTATAAGAGCAGGTTCCTGCAGTTTAAATATCTGTCATGGTTTGTTTTTAGCAGTAATAGGATACCAGGATTGACAACGTCCTGGTATCAGACAAGTGCTTCTTCCTAGTGAAAGCAAAAATAAACTGGAATGAAGAGATGAAAATCTCGTTCTGGGTAGAAATAAGCATGAAATAGCAACTTCCAGCTACCAATTGCTGATATTTTGCAACTGAAAATACCCCCTTTATCTTCAAATATAGCCCAGGGAGGCGCTGCACRGGATTTTTATGGGGCAGCCTTGCAAGCAAGCGGCGAGCAGTGCAGAGCTCGGGGCCAGGGGACGTGCTCGCAGTGGCCTCTGCTGGCACCCGGGSGAGAGCCCTGCACCCTCCGCAGCACCCACACGTCCAGCTTCCCCCCGCTAGAAACGCAGAGCACACCCGGGAATCCTTCAGCTAGGAACACAAGGAATGACGCCCTCGAAGGAAAGCTATTTGTTTTTGTCTCACTAGTCTCTGAGGTTTCCAGCAACACCAACTCCTCTCCAAGACATCCTCTCCCACGCAAAATCTTAGGCTCTGGATCTTTCTATGCATTCGAAAATCTACAAATGCCCAGGACATGCTGTGATGTAAAATAATTATCTTTTATAAATACACACAATGGACTTACAAAGTGACGCACTCCACCTCCTCCTACCAATAGCTGCAAGATTACATCAGAATGTTCTGCTAAAAACTGCAGCTCATTTTCCCTCTGTGAAACATGAAAATTGCGGTGTTTACAAGCACAGCCCACGACAGACGAGGGCTGGACGTGGTGGCTACCTCACTGGCTGGGCTGTACCCGTACACAAGCAGTGTTAGGTTACAGGTGAACACCAGTGTCTGGGCAGGTAAAAATAACTGCATTGAGAAACAGCTCTGGAATTTCTCAAAAATCTCTCAAAGCAGCAAAATCTGAACTGGCAAAGGGAAAAATATATATTTTTAAGAGATCTGAACAGCGGAAGCGTTGTTGATTACAATTAGCATGTAATCTGAAACTCTGAATATACCATCCAGCATGCATGAGATGAGACAATTAGCATTTAATTAGGAGCCTTGCTCACTTTCTTCTACCAGTTTGATAGCTCAGATGATTGCCTTAGAGTATCTCTCACTATTCCTTTGTTCCATTTCCTTCCATATAATTTCCGTTTTCACAGATGAACATCAAAAAACCACACACACAATAACTTAAGCTTAAAAACAAAAAGGACCTGAGGTGAATCTATTATTTAAAATGGAACAAAATTATAATTTGACAAATAAAATCGAATGGATTATCCAGACTTAACCGCTTATCTACACGGRAGACTCAGATTTCCAAAAAGCCCAGGCTCTGCAGCCTGGCATGTGCTTATGAACGTGTGCAGTCCCACTGAAAACAGTGCGACTGTTCAGGTTTTAATGTTAAACACATCTGGACTGAAAACTTTGCCGTTCTTAATCAGGCAAAAACTCCTTAGAGAGCCTGTGTAAAATGATCTAACATAACTTTAGTAGTAGCCTGGGATACGGGTCAAAAGGTGACGGGAAAAAATAAGTWTGAACAAGAAAAAAAATTTAAAGCTATGTTTAACTCATATAATCCTCCCACCCACATAGTTGAAAATATGCCCTTAGAGTAGGCGKTGCAAAGCACCGTTTCTTGCATTAATCCCAACGAGGGTGACAAACAAAGATTCAGTGGCTATATTCTCTCTCTTCCATGCTTCACAGACCTGAAAAAACAGTTTCTACCAGAAAATTCAGATTTCCAGCTTTAGATTGCAACTACTTACAGGAAAAAYATCGTTAAGGAAAAACTTATTTACAGGAAAAACTACTTAGAGGAAAAATGTTGTTAMGCAGATGGAGTAAGTAGATATAGAAGATGATTTTATGTGGCACACGAATGATTACACAGGAGAAATGCTGGACATTTTTTATACACAAAGACACCTGGATCCCAAACSTGTGAAGGGGAGATGGCGTGTTAAGCATCTATATGTAATACACAAATTTTGAGAAGTTTTAACCTAGGAAACATGTTTTTAACCCAAAACTTTCAATACACAGGCCAACATCCCACACCAAACTGAAAATTCTTGGCTAACAAAGAAAACATGAGCTGGAACTAGTTGTTTACAAAGCATACCCTCTGTGGGAGAGTTGAATTTAGTCTCGTTAACGAACGTGGACAGGTCTGAGGGTTGCGGGTAATCCTGTTTATCCGCGTTCAGGTCCACAGTCATGCAGGTCCATTTCTGGCCGGTCACTGAAGATGCCAGTTTCTCCTCATCCGTCGCGTGAACCACCGCGGATATGACGGGAGGCGTTTCTGGAGTTGGCAGTGGAGTGGGATCCTGCATGAAACAAGGRCTTATTACAACTCTAGTATCCTTATTGACACGATGAGCAATCAGCTCGTGATTTCTTCTGCCTGACCCTAGTTACCTTTTCAATTCCATACTTTTTGCTGCAGTTCTACAGAAATAATGGAAAGAAAGAAAAAGAGGAAAGCTCTTCCCACCAAAGGCACTTTGAATTCTACTGTGCTAAGTTTTCCTGGTATAACTAAACTCTTTGATGCTAAATACTCGTAGTGCAAAGCTGCTCTGAYAAGAAGGAAGAAAGAAAATCCAGTCATTTAAATCTGCGTGCACTTGACATAAGTGGCACACATCCATGGCAGAGGCTTTGGCTAGCAGAAATGGCTTTTAAACTTCCCTTATGGTAGCAAACCTTCATAGGGCTCTGAGGTCATGAATTCTTGTATTGAGACACTTTTGTGCTGTCCATCAGCATAAATAGAGGCAGGTTGAGTAGCGCAGAGGTGAACAGCATGAGAAGAATAACACCACATCAAAATAGTTTTGCATTTACACGCAGAACAGGTTTTGYAACCTCTTCTTCCAATCAAACTACTGGCCAGAGGTTTGCAACAAGGAGTACAACCACCCAAGTACACATTCCTGGCCGATCAACCCACTTACTTGGTTTCTATTTTCCTTCCAGCTTGCCAAACGTATGCAATTATTCATTCCTGACATAAATTTTTCAGTTTAATTTTTGAGAATATTAAGTATCTTGAAGATACCTATTCATGTTGCCTTTCCAGCGTAAAGGGGTCTTTCCAAATATATGCACTAATAGTCTTTAGACTTCTCAGAGTGAATACCAGATTTAATAGACACTGAATACATTTTAGCAACTATGATTTTTAAATGTTATAATTACAGCTCAATGTATTGTACTAGGGATCCTCATATTACTATTTTTTTTTAATTATRGAAAGTAGAATTCTACATTGTTATTTATCGAATTTCTCTTATTTACTCCGGGAAGTCCAGAAATTACAGCCATTAAACCAATGCAGTACTTTACCTGAGAAGGAGGATCAGATAATGGGGATCTTTTTGGTGATTTTTTCACCCTAAATGTATCACTAAAAACAAAATTAAGACAGTTAGTACCAGAGAGAATCAGGTCATTTTACAAGACATTTAGCAAGAGACAGCTACAGAAAATGCAACCGCTATAAGCCCTTCTGCTTCAAGTTCCCATCTATTTGGCAGTGGCACCACGGAGAAACATGCTGTGTTCTTATCATGCACTTGGAACAGGCCTTGATTCCCAAAAGCTGAGGAAAGCAGGATTGACATATTTGTAATTCACCAAAAAAGTTGTTTYGTGCTACCATATTTAGAGAACACAGCTTTTATTTCATGGCAAGGATAAATCCAATCCCTGCTGCACCACAGACATTCTCAGTGGCTTTCAGCAAATTATTTAGATTCCGTCTGCTTTTTTTCCCCATCTGAATATAAAGGCCAAAACACATCTTTGCAGGAATGATCTGAGAATAAAAACTGAGCTAAGCTTGGGAATTAAGCTCCAGGAACCACGTAAATCATTGAAATTGAGTAGGAAATCAGTATACTTTGGAAGAACTACCTTCTATCTTTACAAATATGCACAGCAGGAACCTCTCACCTTAAAATTAATATGGCAACAAACATGGCAATTCTGCTTCAGGTTCCYCTAACAGCTCATAATGCAAACCGGGAATACAGCCACTGTAGCCCTTCCAAACCCCACAAGTTTAAATCAAGCAAACAGAATGAAGAATATGCACTGTGTGGAGGTGGACAGCAAGGAATGCTGCCTTATGGTTGCTCACTATCAATTAAAAATGTTTCCTAAGTAGGAAATAAAATAACTTATCTACTAGCTCTTTTAATTCCTTGTGCCAATCAAATACATTTTTGCTATTAGCTAGAAGAAGCAAAAAAAAAAAAAGAAAAAAATCATATCAAATCTTGATAGTTTGAACTCAGGTGCAGTGGCAGAAATTGCTGCCCCCAGCTCTTCCTGATGATCAGTGAATGGCAAGATAAACGCTCAAAAATAAAATGAGGCGTTTCGATTGGTAGAGAGTAAATCAATACCATCTATTGAGAGCAGAAAATAAATTGGACAATTTAATATTAGTATGTTCAATGCTGTGAATTATCTAGTCAGGATGCCAGAATTAATTAGAGTAATTTATTCCTTTAAGGAGAAATATTTCTACAACGTTGTACTCTATCATTTAAATTAAGAAGGGGAATAAAGTTTTCGTATGATAGCTGAAGGTTATGAAATCTGTATACTGTGGAAATCAGGATCTCATTTGACAGGCAAATATAATCAGGTAATCGATGCCTCAGACTCGTTCACAGCCAGGCATTTTACTTAAAATAGTTTCACATGTGCCAGTAAATGAGGTGGTTAACATAAAATATTCATGCTGAAGAATAACTGATCATGCCATAAAATAAATAAGTGAAAATAAAAAGCCCATAAATCAAAGAAGAAATTTGAAATGTTAGCTTAGAATTACTTACAACAGAGAACATACAGACATCACATCTTCTACCATCCTAAGACAAAGAAGACAAAGAAGAGAGAGACAGACAGAAGGAACTGACAAAAAAGATAAACCTACAAATACTCTGTTAATGTGTTACAGCAATCTGATCATGCATATTTTCTACCTGTGTAATCTTAATCCCTACTTTCTTGTTGTGGAGAAGATGGGGGGGGAAAAAATCATTCTTAAATCCTGCAATGTTTTTAAATCCAAGGTTGTACTTTTGACATGCTTTCACCTTGCAAAGCTCATCTTTCAAAGCTGAGTTAAATTCCTATGAACATACCGAATGTGCTTGCCTTATCTGATGGGAGCCACCTGCTTTACTTTCTTTTTTTTTTTTTTTAATTTTTTTCCTCAAAACACAGCACTTGTTATTTTATGGGCTGTAGAAAATGTTCTTGAGCAGCAGTTAAGCTTAAGGAAAAAGCACTTACACAAGGCTTCTGTTATGTCTGCTAATCTGTTAAAATAGCATAGAAAAAGCTACTTGACTGTTTCAAACTGTTTACCCAAGTCAAGAAAGAGAATGACATTTCTCTAAATCTTCATATACTTTGGCTCTTGGTGAAATCTAATTTGTGTTCTGATTGCCCTGAAACGAGAAGCAAACCCTGCCAAGAAACCGAGGGTTAGTGAAGTTCTCATATACTTCTCAGCTTGGCAGCTCCAGGTCTTCATGCAGGATGCTCTGGAAGGCTGATACTTCCCATTTCTAAACACATTCCAACACTTCCCACCTAAACACCTCCTAACATCCAACAATATGGAGCCTAATGTCTATACAAGCCACCTCTTCCTATGGACAGGTACTGAGGGGCCATCAGATTCAGGAGCAGCAGAGCAAGACTTACTGCAGACCGGTTTGGCACTCAGGACCAGAGAGTAATTTTCATCAAGCTGACAACCATTCTAAAATCGCATCCCTTCTACAAAAATCAGTTCTTAGAATGCTTGTTTTACTAAAAAATAATATCTTTTTTCATTAATTTTAACACGTACAAGACAATTTATGGCACAGACTTGAATCAGTACAAGCCTAGTGGTGGCTCGAGCTCACACCTGGCTCCCTTACCCCTCATAGGCCAATACAGAAACATCTGTCCAGCTTTCCTCCTGAAATTTTCAAACCGGATTTTATTCTGTATCCCTCAACAGTGCTAATAAACTCCTCTGGTGTTGCAAAACTATCCATTAATTAGGTTTTGCAAAATTATCCATCAATCCGGGCTTTCAGAAGTCCTGAAATACTACAGCATCCGCTCCWAATCATGATGTTCCCTTTCGTGCCCCTCACAGCTCAAGTATTTTGCACTGGTTTTGTTCTCCTGTCTCCACAAGGAGCAGAAGGACCATCCAGGCTGCGTGTCCCTCCCTGGGCACTGGACCCTATAGAGAAGTCACACGAGGTTCCCATCCCAGGGAGAGGAGAGACTAGAGAAGCAAACCCTGCTACTGCTTCCCGTGACATGTCCCAACAAGCCCAGGGCTAATTTCCTTGGAGAAAGTGCTATGGCTCCAGGCCGTGATGTATATTAACATGCAGACTCTCCTCTTTGTGAGAAAGCCACTTGTGAAAGTAGGTTATGAAGCTGCAGCAAGCAGATAAAAAATATAATAAAATGAAAGCAGCCCCGAGGGGGGCAGAGAAWTCCTGTAAATCTCCTGATATAAGAAATTTTAAGCTCCGCTTCAGAGTGTTCAACTTCCTCAGCATGAAAAAGCAGCACTGAATTCAGRCTGTAGGACAGGGCCTTCCTGTCACGAGTTTTTCCAAGGAAAGGGAGGGTTTTGCAAGCTTATCCCTTTGTAAATTCATGTTGTCCCCAAATTATTAACTGTGCAATTAATTCTAATATTCATAATGGATGGACAGAGCCAATGGGCTTATGTAGACAACTCAACTGCAGCAAGGAGATTCCTGAAGAATCTCAATATCAGACCTCGGTCTCTGATTATATTCCCAGGTGAAATCCAAATTCTGTCTCTCTGACAGTTTTTTAGTCCTCTGGGTTTGGATCAATCGAGATGGACTACAAGCTCAGAAAAAAATGTCTCAGCTGAGCACGTATTTCATTTCCTTCTGTAATTTGCTCCAAACTTTAGGCATATCTCAAAATGAAGTACTATCAGAAAAACAAACATGCAAAAAAATCCCCTTAAGTTCTTCTCTCAAAAACTAAGCTAAAAACCAGGTCACAAACTACTTCAAATCTGGCAAGAGACTTGATTTAGAAGCCTGGAGGATAGCAGACTACTCAGAAAACAGCTGAACAATCTCTCACTCCATAAGGGAGGTCAGTTTTTGCACTGCTTTGCAGCAACTTTTCTTAAAAATCACTTTTTTTTTTCTGTCATTTTTTAGACACAATTTTGTTAGTTAGATACCACAGTTAAACCATAAGGGACATGCAGAGAGATATTTTCTTAAAGAAACACACGAGACAGATTTTAGATAAATGGGATATAAACTTGCTGATTACTAACTCAAAAAAAACCCTGTGACTGAAAGGGTAGTAGTGCATGTACATGAGCAAGTTGACTATGGAACGAATGCAAGAAACTCTTGAGTTTAATAGCCAAATATCTAAATACAGCAGCTAGAATTATCCTGAAATTTGTCAAATCTGTCTAAAATCTGGATATTTGCCTAACGTAGCAGTTTAGAAGATTTTTATCCTTAGCAGATGTGCATATTGTTTCACAGAAAGGAAGCTATGTGAATAGCACAGTCTTGTAGTAAAAAATAAAAAAACCAAAACCATTATTCCACTTTGTAGAATACTGTAATTTTCTGCTTCAGTTTATTTTCTTTTAAATACTGCAAGTCACTGCACCAAACCATCTTCCCACTGGATTCAATGGCAATTACTCTTTGTCTTCCCGCTCCATGCTCCTCTCTCAAAAACTGTAATTCATAGACTAATCTTGTGTAAATACTTCTGCCAGCTCAAACGGTATGACATACCCAAGAAGAGGTTAAAAATTCCCCCAGAATTTGGCACAATATTGGTTAGATTCAAACCTGATTCCACTCAAAGCTATACTGGATCCCAAACTTCTGAAAGTTTACTGCTAGTCCAGTGGCCTCATCTGGCTTGACATCTCTCTGGTTTCCCTACCTGGGCTGGAAACATCAAGCTATTGTGATAATACATTGAGCATGTACAGACCCCAGACACGAATCCAGTTGTCCAGTTAATAGCACTTATTAGTATGTTCCTATCTCTRTTCAAACAGAAAAATGATATATAACTAAAGGGATGTGCTCTCAATCCAGAAACATCTGTGCTCTTCAACTTACGTCTTTAGCGGCGTCTTCTTCTTTTTTGCAGGTTTATTTAAGTTTTCTCCTTCGGTTCCATTTGTTTCATTGGCACTGGCAGGTATCTCGAAAGAGGCTGGAGATTTAGAAGGTGAGCTGGCTATCTTAGAAGAAGACTTAAAAGGGTCAATAGAGTCCTCACACATGTCTGGCTCAAAACTGTAGGTCTGTTGAGGCAGTTTGGGAGATTCTTGCATTTTTGTACTAGAAGAGAAGGGGTTAAAATTGGGATCATCCCACTTGTCAATATCAAAAGTGTAGGAGCCTTTTGTGATCGGGATGTCGTTTGGATCAGGGGGCGACTGGGTCAGCGTAGTCGGAGCATTGTCAAGTTTCTCCACCGGCTTTTTAGTCTTTGGCCTCCGTAGCGGCATTTTGGCACCAGGCTTTTTCCCTACTTTTTTGGGAGGAGGAGTGCTCTCTTGCTGGTCTTCCCCGGCGCTCTTTTCTTCGGAATAATCAAATTCGAGCCTCACYGCCTGCCCCTTGACTGGAGGGTCCTCTTGTCCTCCTCCAGTGTCAGGCGGAGTGACCTCCCCTGCCTCGGGCGCCGTTGTAAGAGGCAGCGTTTTCTTAGTGGCAGGGGGGGAGTTTTGTACTTTGCCACCTCCGGTGCTAAACGCACCAGTCCCTTCCAAACTGTCTGGATCCGAGGGCTGGGATCCTTCAGGCACAGCTGGGGCCTCCTGATTCTCAGCAGAGATTTTAGGAGGTTCGGTACATTCAGGTTTTTCTGAGTCAACCTTGGTTTCCAATGCTGCTTTCTCCACACCTGGGGCAGAGTCTGCTTGGCTCAGATCAGACAGGTCTTGTGGTGCTTCCTTCACCGGTGGAGCTTCTAGAGGCTTTTTAGCCGACGGCTTCTTTTTCACGGAAGCTGGCCTGGATTTCTTTGTCCTCTTAAGGGTACTCGAGGCACTGCTTGAACCAGTGCTGTACGCATCTGCTGCTGGTGTTAGCGTCTCGTTATTGCCAAGGTAAGACACCCCATCAAAATCACTAGCTTGCAAGCTAAGAGACCGAGATAGCGTAGATCTGGAAACCGGGACTGAATCAGTAGACTTTCTTCGTACATTCGATTTGGGGTCACGGTTCTTAGTTTCYGGAGAGCTCGGTCCTAAGGCATGGAAAGAATCGACCAACTCAATGTTGTCAAAGTCCAAGTTGTAAGTTCCACTGCTGGCTATTGGTTTGTCCTCATCAAAGACAGTGGAAAAGGAATGGGAGGGGGGACGAAAAGGGCTTTCTTCGGCCGATTCACTGTGTGGCACATCAGTTATGGACACGGCATCCGAACACAGTCCTGTGGGAACAAACAGAAGGCTTGGTGAATTATAAAGGTCTTAAAAATGAGGGCTTAGAAAGTTTTATCATAATGTGATATTAATAATAATTTTTAAAAAGGCAAAAAAATCAGATAATACAAATGGGTGAAGAAACAATTAAAGGACATACAAACTGAAGCAATATTTGCAATACGTAGTCTAGAATCGTCACTCACATTGCACACTATCATAAAGAGTTCACTGAATTATGAGAGCTCTTCTGCAGCAAATTGCCTGTAAACTGGCTGTAAACTGGCTTCAGCTATCCTATGCTGATCTGTAAGTTTTCCTTTTCATAAGCTATTTTTACTAGTTTCCCAGAGGAAAAAACTATGGAACGTGACTTCCTTTCCACAGCCCATCAATGCTGTCCCTTATTCTGCCCCAAGCTGTCCATACACTCCACTTTGACCTCCTAAATCCAAGCTTATAATGAGGCATTTTTTACCAAGGATCACTGGGAATTTCATATGAAACAAATTATGGTAAAGAAAACTAGTCAATTAAAGAACTGAGCAAATACGCTCAATTGTAAGTCTGCCATAAGAAAGAGCCCTAAAATCTACAGATAATTTAAAGCACATTTCTCAAAGGGCAGTTTTAGTTCCACGATGATAATAGAATTTTATATGCAGATTTATAGGCTAAAACTCTTCAACCAAAAGTCTTTGCTTTGGAATCAAAGATTTGCTCATTCAATGGAAGGATTATAAAGGTCTCTCCACTTGGACAAAACGAAGAATATATATAATAAAACTCTATATAAATATATATAARAGTTAGAAAACTTATATGTAGAAAAGAGTCATCTTCGCTGGTGTTATATGTGCCCTAACCAGAGCATCCAAGAGCTGGGAAATCCCTCCAGTTTTCCAGACAGAGCATGGGTTGTGCACAAGCTGTAACTGGCCTGGACCTAGCAGCTGAGCTCTCCCCGACGAGCCCAGCAGCAAATGCTGCAGTATTTMCTCTTGAAGCAATTTTGGAGTTTTCGTGCTGTGAATGCTTGTATTATGCAACTGTACAGAAGAATACAGTGAAACGAAAAATGAATGCTTTACTTATCCTTAAATCAGCTCAGGGAAATTTCTACACATTTACTTCATTTCAGTCCTGACACATTTTGGAAATCAATTTCCCTTTTGCCCCATTACATTCATTACTGTTTTTCATCAAGGCAGCACAGACAATTAATAATCACTTTCAGTCAGAAACTATGAATGGATTAAGATTAGAAGAAAATGATTTTTGTTTCTTAGGAAGTTACACATCTGCACAAGGACTGCAAGAATTATTATTTATGAACATAAACTACAGAAATCTTTGACAAATGAAGATACATTTCCCTGAGAAACACTTTAGAGTGACATTAAGCATTTCCAGAGATTTTCAAAGAAATAACAGCTACAGTTCTTCTTTTAAGACTGTAAAGTCTATTGAGTCACATCAGATTTCCCTTACRGGGAGTAATTTGTGTATTTTACACCAAAGAGAATGGAAGACACTTAGGTGGATCACATTAAAATAAATACTGTGCGTCTGCACAAATCTAGGTCAGCATGAAATAAAAGGGGGATCTGAACAAGAAGTCTTCAGAAAATCATTTGTTGTTTTCATTACAGCAAATGCCAAAGGCCTCAGTAGGATTGAGGTCCTCTCTTTCAAAGTCAGCACAACATGTATGTAAAAAAAATTAAAAGAGTTAATGCCCTGCAGGACTTAGAACTCAAAGACACCGTAGCAGTAGAGCTGAGGTTAGGAGTACATCACAGAAGCAGAGCCAGTACAATGTTTTCCAGTTATTTAAATAAAAACAGTATTCAAATTCTGTGTGCTCCACATATAACGCAGCACTTTAATCTTACTTAATTGCTCATTTCATAACCACTTCCTATCCAAAACCTCTCCTTACAGGATAGGTTTCTGAAGAGGACAGCTCGAGTCACTGCTGCGATATTTCTATTGCTGCTTTATGAAACAATATGGGAAACTGTATGAAAAAACATGGCTTTTGGTAGGAATGAAATGCTGCTATTGTACTCTCCTGGCATCACACTGGCTCCATGCTATGARCAGTAGAAAGGCAGCAGAGGAGAACATGAATGGTACCCACTACTGTAAAACAGCACAGCTTTATTAGTACTAAGATACTTTAAGACTATTCTTTCCTGGCATTGAAAGGCCACCCAGACAGCAGGGCTATTTATCTTTTTACATTACAGAATCAAGCAAAGCAGGATTACTGATTACAGTGTTTTACTAAAATGCACTTTGATCACAGAGGAACTTGCTACAGTACAAATATATCTACAAAAATTAAGGCAAGATTTGCCCTCAGAAGAGGCCTTAGAAATAAGGTTTATGCCTTGCATTGGCTAATAATAATGTGCTGACAGGTAACAACAAATTATACTGGTAGCATAAGTCCCCAGGTAGACATCGGATACTATAAATCATGCCATGGACAACTGATTTGCAAGCTACAGCAAGTGAAGTTATATTGTGATAAAGAGCAGGTGATCCTTGAAAAAACYCCCATTGTACTCATTAAAAATGAAGGTTTAGATTCTAATTCTTCCATAAGGAAAAGTCTATGATTTTGGTAAAGTTTGTCTGGATCAGGCACGAAGGAAATAAAAATCAGACTCCTATCATCATGATAGTGAGAATTCTAAGCTGGATGAACTACATAATGCTTGGTGCTGTCACCTATCACCTACTATGGCAGAAACAAAKGGATGCTAGAAGGCTATTTTAAACCTTGGTTATTTCTTTCTAAATAATAAAAATATATTAAGGAGTTAAAACATATAATGGAATTTATTTAACATATTTTTCCTTTTCAGTTATGACTTTTTATAGTTGAATTACACTATGTGCTAACACAGTTGGGCGTTTTCTTCCTTTGTTGACATAACTAAAATAGGGCGAAAAAAAACAAAAGGCTGAAAATAGAAGGTCTTAACACTGGTGACTTGAAAACACAAAGCAAAACTATGTCAAAAGGTTTAGAAACAAAACTTAAGCAGCCTTCATAAAGCAAAGAAAAAGAAGCTAATGTTTCTAAAGAAAAAAAATACCCTTGAAAGATAAGGACAACATAAAGACACACGAACACACTCCATTATAATGAATCTCGGTACAGTATTAATGACAAACACACTTGCCCTACGGCATATATAGTAATTGCAATCATCTAACATGCCACATTTTGAAATGCAGTTACTTTGTTTCAAGTTCCTGCTTGTTATAAAAAGTCTTTGAAATAATGAAATCAATTAGTAGCACCATATTTTAAATTTTTACAGAAATATCTTTGCCATTCATTCACTGTGAAAGAAAATGATGTATGTATGTGTGTGTGTGTATATATATATGTGTATGTGTGTGTGTGTGTGTGTGTTACTGTATTAGATTTCACAGTGGAAAACCATGAAGAAGAGCGTTTTCCATGCCAAAAAATCAGTTTGTTTTTGTCTGGGTCATTGTATATCTCTAYTGGTAAACTTGACTTCAACTCGCTAGAGAGAGGAAGGAATCCAATAACTATAATCTCTCATATCTTGACTAGTGGGGCACGTAGTGACATCATACATAGGGGCAACCAGATTTTTTATAGCTCCTTTACACGTGTAATTGTATGTAATCAATGAACTGGGGAACCAAAGGGGAAAGGAATGGAAGCCACTGCTGAGACAAGAATTCATGGCCAGAAACAGGGAATCTGGAGCTTGCCTGGGCTTGGAGAAAGTTCTGGTGCTGCGATGGGACAGGCTGGTGGGCTGTGATCTCCTGCGAATTCATCCCACCTGCACGGGGCCAGCAGGCACTGGGGAGTGTGTGTGGAAAGCATGCTCCATCACTAGCCTCTTTCAGAGGCCAGAGCCTTGTGGCTGGTAAACGGGGACACCAGGCTCTCCAGCTTCCCATATCCCTTTGCCTCTTTTATAGAAACCTGGTTATTTAGGGGTTTTGGTGCCAATGAAGAACTCTGCTGCTGTGGCCCATAAGCTCTCAAGCAAGGGACTCATTTTCTTGCTATGCAGTGACTCGCACACCCTATAATATAACAGTTACCCAGGGGTTCTTTAAAGTACAAAATATTTAACTCTTCACATTTCTTCAGAAACCTGCACACAGGTAAGCTACACCAGTATCTTCTAAGCGATTTAAAACACCAGTATCTTCTAAGAGATTTTGGAAACAAATAAGTGCTTTGTGCTGCCCTCCTACATTTGAAACCTTTCTGCATTACCTTCCTCACAAAAAATCCCCTGCATTTTGCATAATTTTGGAATGCTGAACATAGCTTTATTATTTTGCAGTAATTTGCCTCCCATGGACAAATTCTATTTGCAAGTGAAGCGTTTTAGTCTCTGCAGAACAAATACACCAAATGGCCTTTATTATGGTACAGTTCTCACCGGTTATTAATAGATACAGTCAGTTTCCTCTCCATGAACACATGAAAGAGAGRAGGGAGAAGCACATGTGTAATCAAAGGTTGGAGGATAATCTACGGCAGTAATTAAAGCCACACTTCAATCTTGTTTATCATATTCATTCTTTTGTTCTCTCAGCACTAAAATTRTTTTGTAATCACAGAATTTAAGACCAAAAAAGAGAAAAGATCATGAGGAACATTGTTTGCTACAAAAGAGAGGAATCTGTAACAGCAGAAAGGAAAAAAAATATTGTATTTCTTCTGCTTTACTTTGTGAAATTAGTTAGACATCTTTAATGATATGAATTTATAAGAAGCTGAAAATAATGATCTCAGACTGTTCCTTAATGCCTAAGTCTCAGGAATGCTTCAAGTTACCCAAGACACTTCCAAGACGTATTTGTCACTTCCTCAGAAATCTAAATTAAAGTTCAAAAGCCTTTAAGATCTATTTACCACCCGTGGATTTTGCTTTACCCACTGCTAAGCACAGCCACTTCTAGAGCAGAAGCTTTACATCACTGCATGGCAGAGCTATACATCCTTGCAAATGAAACACAAATGAACATTAATCTGCTGACAGTAAAGTTACCTTTACGGAATTTACCTTGGTTGTCAAGCTATCTCAACTCACCGAGGGAAAAAATAATGTATATTGGGGAATTTTATCTTAAACTGTAGAGTTGTTATCTTACAACTCAAAGTTATTTTAGGCTCCTTGCTAGCACAGCACTTTCTGCTGTGCCGTATTCCATTATTCAGGTTACTTTGTCAGTATGTTCCAATTTCTATACAGATGTACTGCACACATATTCACACAATGCTGTGTTTCTCCTATATGATCGTGACATTAATAATAACTCCATTCATAATGCAAGAGCTTTTTGTTCACCTCCTATTTCAGATTTTGATGCACTGGAAAATAACATTTTATTGTCACTGGTGCTAACCCAAGCGCCCTACACCAACTTCCTCTAGTCATCTAACTCCGTAAAACTACTAAAATGCTGGGAGAAAGGAATGAAGTTCTGCGGATCAGGAAATAAAAAAAGTTTTCTAGTTTTCCATTATTATTTCTTAAATACCACGGACTGATTCCCAATGGCTTTATTTAATCTTCTAGGAAATATCTTACTAGCACTGATTGCTTGCCTGTGCTAACACATACAGCTCCCCTTAGCTTCCTCGTGTTCAGCAGCAGGTCCCCCTCATGAGGTGCTCGTTACCTGTGTCCTCCAAGGGCAGCTGGGGTTTTATTTCTTGCTCGGCTGTGTCGGCTACCACCGCTGCTGCCGCCGCCTCGGGAGCTGCTTGTGGGGGTGAAGGTGGAGCCTTTACTGGTGTAGTGGACTCTGGGGTCTCAAAAGCTTCTTCGGAGTCGGAGCTCCTGGGTAAAATCAAATGAAAGAGAGAAAAAGAGAGACATCCCTTAGCAGTGTTGACTAGCGAGCAAAATGCAGGTTCACATCTGCAGAGAACGGCTCATACCTGTAAGTGCTTTCTGAGCTGCTGCACAAAGCTCAGCCGTCAGCCTAGCTCTGCCAGTTCCAAAGACAACCCACGAGGAGGTCTCCATGACGGTATGGAGCGGGATATCACGCTTATGGCCTTCATGTTAATGGCATAGGTCTATGTCATTACATATATTATATACAATATATTATATAAATAAACATTTCTTCAAAAAATGAAGAATTTGAGGTAAAGAAAAATGTCTGCTCTTTTTTTGTCTACCGTGTGACTACAAGCTTCCATTCCAGGCACTTCCCAACAGTCCTCGTGTCRAATCTTCAGCACAAAACTTTGCTTTCCTACAGCTGAAGAATCACAAAAGGATTCTGATGGAATTCCGAGCAGTGAGAACTGTCTGTATCTAATGAAATGTTGCCGAGTTTGTTATGAGGTGCACTCATGCTAGCGAAACAAGATACTAGGCAAGGAAATACAACGGGGTTCCTGAGACCCTTGAGTYGAATCAGTTGGTCTAAATGGAAATACGCGCACTCTCTTGGCATGAGGTGAAGACCACAGTCGTACTTCAGACTGTGACAAAAGGCTTCTCCTGGACAGGATTTCCTGTGAAACAGAATTTGCGCAGATCGGCCAGTTCTATTCGTGTCTTTTCTCTCAGAAATGCAAGGCATAGGCAAAAAGAGTAATAGCCTGAAGTTTAGAGCAGCATAAAACAGAGTAAAGGATGAGCCAAAGGCTGTGAGGCCCAGCATCCATCCAAAGCAGTGCTGTCCTGTCCCAGGCGCTGCTGCCTGCTCTTATCCCACCTAGGGATCATCCCGAAGCTCCAGCCGAGAAGGAACCAGGTGAGGTGGGAAGCATGGATTATGAGAACGAAAACTCATTCTGGCCCTGGTTTGTAAAGCTGTGAGACAGGGCATACAAACAGAGTCTACATCTGTGGGATTAGCTTGTGGGGAAGCATGGAAGAAAAGCTACACAGGCTGGGGCATGAGTTCTTCTAGTCAGCTGGGAAAGCAGGGGAAGYTTTCCAGGATATTCCTGCAGAGGTATCTCTATCTCTCTGTACCCTTTGGGTTTTGTGCATAATGGAAAAACACTTATGGTAAACAAAAGAAAAAACAAAATGGTAAAAAGGTATGGATGGCAGAAGCTACAAAGCGATCAGATGATAGTAACTGAGTACAAAATGTCTCACAATACTCTTCCAGTACCTCTTATTTGGCCAGTAAGCAGCAAATACAACACATACAGGCATTCTGCATGATGCAGAGCCGTATGAAATACAAAATTTCTACTAGATCCCAAGCTGACAGAGTTTTGCCAGGGCTATATTGAAGAGAGAGGGTTCCCATTCTTACTTGGAAACTATGGGGTCTGGCATGGCCTGTTATACAATTCTGAGGAGAAAATAATGCAGGGAGGGTTGACCCCTGTTCTTCAACTTTAGCCTCATAGCTGGAAAACCAGCCTCATAAAATATATTATATTTTATATATATGTATATATATATGTGCTTATAAGAAAGCACAAGATTTCTTCATTCCACTGCCTCTGTTTTCCCTATTCAAACATTGCATTCACTAAAACGAGCTAATCTCTGCTCTCACTTAGAGACTAAGTTCAGTAAAAAATTAATTGGCACTAGAGCTGTTACAGAGCCTTCAGCCATACCAGGAGCTCTGTAATTTCTCTCCAGTTCTCCTAGCATTTACATTACAGCAATATAAATGTATATTGAGGTTTTATTTAGCAGCGATGGGAGAAAAGGATGTCTGACGGTTAAAACAAACAAAACAAGGGGCCTACAGCAGAGCTTTTACAAAAGGGCCAGGGTCAGGAGCAACATCTTCTACTTATGATCCCAATGGAGAAGATTTGGAACTGGTTTGGCTCAGAGAGCTTCACTTTTTTTTTTTTAACTGTTATTTCACTTAAAATCAATGCTATACTGACTTTTTATTTATATACAGAGAGTTAATCAAACTCTATTGATGCCCACCAGACTGATCCTGTTTAGGCACTGCCCTTGAACTATAGACCAGACTTTTGGAAACTTGCAGAGAAAGTATCTCAAAGATGAGTCTATTCTCATAGTCTCATGTCTTTCCTTCTTGATGCTAAGCTACTAGATCTAACCAGCAATAATTTCCACAGATTTTTTTTTCTTTTTGACATATACTTGTAGTCCTAAATATGGAAGAGGTGGGAGAGAGAAAGGGATATTTTGTGTTTTTCTTCATCTCACATTTGTATCTCCAGGTTCCCGGCATGCAGCTGGAGCTGCAATGTAGGGTCCATGTAAGATCACAGCAGAGTTATCTGCAGATTGGTTCCCTTCTGTTGACAAATGGACATGGGCTTGAAAGTCCAAGAGTGTTTGTTGCCGGTGTTGAGATTTCTGCACACTAAACACACCCGCAGTATTCCTAGATGAAAAGAGAATCCAAAAGCCTTGCAATGGAAGGACCTAAATGAGTAAACACTGCACCATTGATTCATGGACATTATCTATGGCACCATCTAAAAGCAACACACAGATTCCATTAGACCTACCCCTCYGAAGCGCCTGTAGCTTAAAAGCTAAGGTATATATTTCATGTCATTATTTATTAAACAATTTATCATACACCAGACAGGAATCTAAATCAGCAAGAAAAAAAGCAATTCCTCACAATATCCAAACAGTACTACGGTTGAATTTTGCTCCTCCTRTCTGTAATTCTGTTGGGAGAAGAGCTGGAAATAAAAAGGAGGAATGAGTTCTGTGCTCTCACTTCCATTGACCATTTTCATATATGGTCCTCATAAAACCTGTATGAATAATTCATTTGGGCTACTGATGAAATCAGAAGCAAGGTTGCAGGGCTGGCTCTACACTTTGGAGGTCACCCAGTCTGCATATTACTTAACGGGCACAGACACTGCACTGATGAGAACCACACAGAGTGGCAGAATTCAAAACACACTCAATAACTTTAGAGTTTCTAAAACAAGAGGTAGACAAGGCATTCACAGATGCACATTCATTTCTGTCGAGATTTTTTTTTTTTTCTGATCTGAATAGCCTAATAAAACCTTTTCAAATGCTAGTCAAAACCGTGGTCCCATTTTTCATGGGTATAATTGATTTTTTTTTCCATATTGATGAAAAAACTGTCACCACCACCAAAAACCCCAAACCCTAAACCATGGAAACAGCAGGTTTCTGTGGCAGATCTCCACAAAGTGAAGTTCTATCATGTTCTTGACTCTGCTACTGAACTGCTGCAAGGTCTTCTATTCGCTTCTATTTCTGCACCTACCTCAAGGTTTTCTGATCTAATGGGAATCTCCTAATGGCACAAACAGCTAATTGCTATGAATTTATACTGAATATACTGAATTTATACTGATTATACTGAATCTAGAGATAAACAAAAACCTTGAAAATTGCTGTAGTGGTATATATTACATTTGGGTTTTTACTTTCCTATTTTTAAAAAATAAAATAATAAATGATCTCCTATAATCATCATTCATTCATGCTGCAATCACAGAACTATGAAATACAGAGGTTTATTTTTTAAACYRTTTCTTACAAATAGAGCWCTGTATCAAAATTCAAAAATYAACAAGAGAGCCCAAATTGCAATTYATTTCCTGGAGATTAAGTCACCAASTTAGGCAAGCAGCCATTAGCTGACCCAATGTCCCAGCCTACACACTAGGACAAAATAGACAAAATATTCTGCAGATGAAACAAAAAGTTTTTTTTTTTTTTTAGAAGCATTAGATTAGGATAATATCAAAGACGTTTCAACTTTTTATAAAAATATTTTTGTACAGCATTTACCTACTTAATGACTTTAAGCTTGCATAATGTTCCTCAATTAACTTCTTTTAATAATTATGATTGTCATTGCCTACAAGTTTTGAATACCCAACAATACTAAAAAATTAACATTTAAAATTTGTTTAGCAAGACGTAGAAAACACGATGGGCACAATGAACAGATTCACCTGGTTATTTCATGTATTAGATATTAATCTTTAGAAAMTGAATTAATCTACTAAACCTTGTATCAAAGCATTTCTGGCATGTATGGTATGAGAATAAGCAGCTCAGATAAATGCAACAAACACTGTTAGGAGTTAGGCACAACCTTCACACAAACAAAATTTCCCCTCYCTCTAATAAAATACACCATTAAGATGACAAAACTTCTCAAGAACTATTCAACAGGACAGATAGTTCTGAAAACTTTTTGCGCAGAGAAGAGCAAGCCCATTAACCTAAGCCTGGCTTATCAAAGCTGATGGGTCAGTGACTTATAGAGGAGCATTTAACACCATCTGCCTTGCTCCCTTCCCTCGCTCCCCACGGGAACGTGCTCAGTGCTCCTATCATGTCAGGAGGCAGGGGAGGTTCAAACGAGTCGCTTACGTGTCACTGGGCTCTGTGTACAAGACAGTTCCTTTAGGGACACGTTTCTGACCATTAACTATTAATGGACTTCTCGGGCTGTTRGAAGGTTATTCAGTGATAAGATCATCTACCCTATGATTAAATACATTCACAACCAGGATACACTGTGAAGAGAAAAACTGTAAAACCAGTTGAAGAAGATGCTGAGCACAACCCACCAACCTCGTCATCAGCTCAAATCCCACTCAGTCATCTAGTTCTGCTGTCTCGTCATCATCATCATCATCATTGCTTTGCACACCCAGGGTGGGAATCAAGCAGTATGTGCGATTCATGCAAATAAAATCATGTTTGGTATCCATAGGGAGCCACAGCAAGTGCAAAGTGTATTTTCCTCTGATGGATGCTGAGGGTCTACTCCAGTGAAATGCAAAATGTCCTAGACTATAACACAAAGAAATGGGAATTCACAGCTTTCTATACTTGAACCCATACTAAGCAAGTGA